TTCAGCGGGTATTCCTCTCCCATTCCGACCGCAAAGTGTGGCTACTCTTCGATTACGCCGAACACGACCTCTGGGTTCGTATTATCACCACTTTGTCCACTCGATTACATGCAGTGTTTGATTCTTACAATGATTTACTGTATGTTTAGCACATAATCAAGTTCCACAGGGGGGCCAAAGCCAACAAGAAACAAGTGGTTACTCCCAAAGGAATGGTTAAGTCACTCATCTATCAGATATTGGATGGTATTCATTATCTGCACACCAATTGGGTTCTGCACAGAGATCTCGTAATGAACACCACTTGTATTGATTGAAACCAAAACTAATTATCCTTTTGAATGGCATTCCCACAGAAACCGGCCAACATTCTAGTGATGGGTGAGGGGGCAGAGAGGGGTCGCGTCAAGATCGCTGACATGGGTTTCGCGCGACTGTTTAACGCACCCCTTAAACCATTGGCCGATTTGGATCCAGTAGTGGTGACTTTCTGGTATAGGGCACCGGAACTACTACTGGGCGCCAGACATTACACCAAAGCCATAGACATTTGGGCCATCGGTTGCATATTCGCCGAACTGCTCACCTCTGAACCCATATTCCACTGCAGACAGGAAGACATCAAGACCTCCAACCCCTACCATCACGACCAACTCGACCGCATATTCAATGTGATGGGCTTTCCATTAGACAAGGATTGGGACGACATCAGGAAAATGCCGGAACACCCGACCCTTTCCAAGGATTTTAAGCGAAATAAGTTCGTCCAATGTTTTCTCACATTTGTCATTACTTTTGCTAATAATGTACTGTTTGTCGGTTCAGTTACCAGAGCTGTTCACTCGTCAAGTATATGGAGAAACATAAAGTAAAACAGGACTCCAAAGCATTTCAATTATTGCAAAAATTACTGCTTATGGATCCCACCAAACGGCTCACATCAGACACAGCTATGCAGGACTCGTACTTCCAGGAGGACCCCCTTCCCACTCAAGAGTCAGTTTCCCACCAATCACTTAAACTTTAAATTTTCTATTAAATCCCATGCATTGCGTTTAATTATAGTGTATTCCATGGCTGTGCCATACCGTACCCAAAGCGGGAGTTCCTAACCGATGATGAGAATGAGGACAAAAATGACACGAATAATAAGCAACAAAACAATAACAATCAGAATCACGATAATAATAATCACAACCATTCGGCCAAACGGGTTCGCATGAGCGGAATGGGCGGTCAAAACATACCTCCAGTCTCGTCGAGTTCGGGCAATTCGGGCCATGGATTGCAGAACCAGAACACTATGTATTCTAGTAGTCAACAAATGGCCGGAAACTATCAACAACGGTATCCATGAATGAGTGAATTTATAAATTACCGGTACATATAAAAGTATACCAGTGCCTGGTGCACAGGTATGTTTTATTGTGTTATATTCCGCACTCAACTTAATTGGTACTAAAAATTAGAAAATTAGTGTAATTTACTTGATTAAGTTGTATAATTGTACAGTAAATTCAATTTATGGGATATGTTTGCATAGGTATTAATGTTTTCTAAGGGTATATCGTAATACCGATTGAATTATTTGTTAATAATAATAATAGTTTTGTATAAATAGAGTACCGTATATATATATTTCACTTTTAAATTTACTTTTATTTACAATAATTTTTTACTTTTACGGTCAAACTATCAAAACTATTGATCACTTTTTACATAAGTCTGTAAAGATGTGTATTTTTGTTGCAATTACCGTATAATCTTTGTAAATTGCAATCATTTTAAGCAAACTTTTCCCGTATACAGAGTAATTATTTACACTGTAATATTTTATGTTCAAATCTACTGTAATTGGATTATTATTGAATCCACAAATGAAATAAATTATTGAATTTACATTTGTCTTAAAACATTATTTTATTTTAAATTTTAACTTTAAGTCTAATTTACAAATAGATTCAATACATAGCTATTACCGTAATTGAAATTCTAAAATCCACAAATGAAATAAATTATTGAATTTACATTTGTCTTAAAACATTATTTTATTTTAAATTTTAACTTTAAGTCTAATTTACAAATAGATTCAATACATAGCTATTACCGTAATTGAAATTCTAATTAAAACCACTCTAAACGCATAGGAGGGGACAGGTGTGCGACAACACCCGACTGTCTGTGGCTAACAAACACGAGAATGCCTTTTCTCGACCGGTATTTCTCCAGTTCTGCACTTCTTATCGAATTCTCTCTGAAATGAATGAAACAAACATTTGAATGATATTTACGGCTCTGAATGTCGATGAATGGGTACTAACTCTTTGGTAGTTCAAGAAGTACCCGAAGCCCCAAATGGGCAAAATGGCGGTTCCCATGAAGGCTGCGAAACTACCCCACGAGGGCTTCCAGTACTGATACATCGACGCCCTCATCGCCATAAACCGCTGCACCGATGGGTCCAACTGTCACCACAAATACACTATTCATTAGTCTTACGTTATGTTAACAAACATACGGTATATCAAGGATAGAGAGGGGTATAGGACTGGATTAGGGGTTACCCGGGATAGGGCACTGAGAGTTAGTTAGTGTAAATATGATGTGGAATGGGATGTGAGTGAGTGGTGGACGGGTAGTGTTGGACATACGATCTCGACATGAGCGGCACATTTGTACGGATTGTAATTCAAACGGTTGTACTCGGTCTTCAAGCGCCTCCTAATCGCGTGTCGCCTCTGGATTCGGTCCATTTCGGCGGCGCTCTCGTGGTATTGAGGAGTCCCTCCCCATCCCATACCACCACTGCCCGCAGATGAAGACATTGTCACTGCAAACGGATCCACACATCAATTGGTGTTTGAATTATCATTTATAAATGCAATTATAGTTTTGTTGGTTTTGTTGCAACTGTTATAATGTTGGAGTCATTCGTAACAAACATACCGTTAAGTTGTGGCACTATTTGTCGACCGATTTGTAGTAATAATTAAATGAAATTTGATTTTAAGTTTTCATGAATGGATTGGTTTTGTATTGTGTTTTCAATGCATTCAATACGTCCCATAAATAGACACTAAATACAAACATAACGTACACTCTCTATAGATATTTCATTCACAAAACACGTTTCCTTTTTAACATTTTCCCTATAGTTTAACATTAGAGGGTATAAAAATGATGCCTTTATTATTGACGTTATATATGAATATATAAAATATTTTCATTTTACTCTCAAACATGTGTTAAATTTAAAAAACTTTTACTAATTATAAACATTTAATTGTAATTAATTGAAACAAATCATGAAAATAATGACAAATCCATTAATAAACTGCAAATCTTTACGCAATTTTGGACCCAAATTACGGGCAATACATATACGATGTGTGCATCAAAAGGACCCGAAATTTAAGGCGGATTCGGGAGGCGAAGACGTGTGGACGCCTCCCCGGCCACCAATCAAGCCGTACGACCATCTGTTCCCGTGGACATCGATGACCACATTCACCAGCTATTTGGCCGACAGAGTGGAGTACTTCGACGGCCACCTACTGGCCATCAACAAGCCGTGGGGCGTCGGTATCCATAAGCCACTGGTGACTATCACCGATCGGAACAGTCATCTGATAGGAGTGATGCATAAGGGGTCGCCGCGGTATGCCATGAATGAGGCGTTGGAACCGTTGGCTCAGATGCTGGACGTAAAACGACTCCATTTCTGCAAAACAATCGATCGCTATATGTCTGGACTCGTGTTGTTGGCCACCGATGAGGACACTGTCAATAGAGTCCAGAAGTCGTTGCGTCGGTCGACGGCTATGACAACACCGGCGATGAACTTCCTGTGTGTCACTAAAGGCTGGCCCGCAGTCGATGGCTCTGGTGTCGAACAGTTCGTGGAAAGGGTTGGCATAAAACTGGTGGAAATGGATGAGTTGGGTGACCACAAGCAACCCGTCATAATACCGGCCCAACAGTTGACGAATACTATGCGTCGCCGTCAGAAACCACAGTCCGATGGGATGGTTGTGAAGCCCGTGTTGTGTGGACCATGGATTGCAGAACCAGAACACTATGTATTCTAGTAGTCAACAAATGGCCGGAAACTATCAACAACGGTATCCATGAATGAGTGAATTTATAAATTACCGGTACATATAAAAGTATACCAGTGCCGCAGTGCACAGGTATATTTTATTGTGTTATATTCCGCACTCAACTTAATTGGTACTAAAAATTAGAAAATTAGTGTAATTTACTTGATTAAGTTGTATAATTGTACAGTAAATGCAATTTATGGGATATGTTTGCATAGGTATTAATGTTTTCTAAGGGTATATCGTAATACCGATTGAATTATTTGTTAATAATAATAATAGTTTTGTATAAATAGAGTACCGTATATATATATATTTCACTTTTAAATTTACTTTTATTTACAAAAATTTTTTACTTTTACGGTAAAACTATCAAAACTATTGATCACTTTTGACATAAGTCTGTAAAGATGTGTATTTTTGTTGCAATGACCGTATAATCTTTGTAAATTGCAATCATTTTTAAGCAAACTTTTCCCGTATACAGAGTAATTATTTACACTGTAATATTTTATGTTCAAATCTACTGTAATTGATTATTATTAAATCCACAAATGAAATAAATTATTGAATTTACATTTGTCTTAAAACATTATTTTATTTTAAATTTTAACTTTAAGTCTAATTTACAAATAGATTCAATACATAGCTATTACCGTAATTGAAATTCTA